TCCAGGTTTTCAGCTCTGATGCTGCCAGAGATGTTTCTGTCCCACTGTGTCAGTATACACCTGCCTTATCACACCGAGAGGTACTGACCCCTCCTCCTCCCCAAAACGTTAAGGAAAATTGTATTTAAAGTTTCCAACCCCTCTACACACATGCTTTTGAGAAACGAAAACAAGGCAAAAGCTGCCATCGATCCCACAGCAGGACAAAACCAGAGGCAGAGTTTCAGAAGAAGGGGACATCTTCCCATGCCCGCAAGCTCCCAGTAGAAGTTTTGCTCCAGAAAACACAGCAAACCAAAGCTCGGAGCCCCCTCTAGCTCCAAACCTTTCCCCCAGCAAAACCCAGACAGAGGCACCAAAAGCAGCAGGTTCCCAGCCCGCCGCGAGGCCAAGCGGGAGGAGCAGGACCGCTGGCCCCAGCACGGGAAAGTGTGCGTCGAGGCGTCAAAATGCAACGCTCCCAGAGAAAAAATAAATAAAGAAATCAAACCAGCAGCAAACACTACTGAGAATAATAAGTAGCACAGGGATTTCACAGGGATTTTTGGTCTAAGATGCCTGGGGAGCCCCTTCGCCAGCGGGGATTGGGGTGCACATCCTGCCCTGGAAAAGCACAAGCCGCGGCTGAAGCTTTGCAGGAATGTGGCTGCGCTGCGGAGCAATGCCACAGGGATGTGCGTCGGGAGCAAAGCAGCTCTGGGCTGGGCATCCAGACAGCCAGGCTGAGGGCAGCGCTGCTCATACCGCAGGAAAGGCTTGGCGTGGAAGTGCCAAACACAGCAACGCTGTCATGGCAGCGGGACGGAAGATGGGACCCTCCCTGCAGGAATCTCCCCCATCCCCAGGGCAGCGCAAACTTCCCACAGCACAAAGGCAGCAGCGCAAGCTGGAGGAGTTGCAGGGCTTGTGCTGGGACAGAGGACGGAGCAGAGAAAGCAGCGAAAGCCATAACCATCCACCCAGGAGCGATGGGGCACCCGGGGCATCGGCAGCGCAGCCACAGCTTACGCCTCTGCCGCATCCCGAGGGCGAAACATCAGGAATTGCAGCTCGCAGCCCACGGTGCCAGCACCGCTCCACGGAGCAGACAATGCCGGTGATCCAGGCAGCAAGCGGCGAGGAGAAAGGCAAAGAAACCCCCCTGTCATCCCCCAAGCACCCGCAGCAGCAGGAGGCAGCGTGCTTGCCTCCTCCTTCCCAGGCAAACTCAGAGCCGTCCCGCACAGCCTCTGCTCACATCCCTGCCTCTGAGCCACAGAGAGGTGACCCCCATCCCCACACAGCCTGGGGAGTCACCGCAAGGCATGCCGTCCCCTCCACTGGTGTCCCTGCCAGCAGCCACCCTGCTTCATGGGCGGCTGAGGAGGAGGAGGGTCTCCACGTAAGGTGGAAAATTTACGTGGAAAATGAGCAAGCACCCAACTTCTTGCAAGGGATCTGGGTCTGCAGGGGAAGCGTGCGAGTCCCAGGGTACCTCCAAGCTGGCCTGGGTACCTCCGAGTCAGCGAGCACCTGCTCACCCTGGGCTGGGGGAACAGGCTCCCGATTCCTCGCTCGGCTGAGAATCGGTTTTGCTTCCATAAGAGAAGCGCTGGCAGGATTTGGGGGGGTGGGGGAGGAACCACAAAGATTTAGTGCACCTTAAAACCAAAGGATATCTAACCTGCCCTTAGGTCTCACTCCAAGACGGAAAAGAGCTATGGCATCTCCTACACTCACAACTACTCCAAACACACCCAGACACATGCAAAACATCCCGCTTCCCTTCGGCTACAGAAACCCCCTCCGGGGCAGCGGTGACGGCCGGCGTGGGGCTCCGGCTCAGCGCCCCGACACTGCCGGCTCCCACTCTGCTCCCAGTCCCAGCAACAGGGTGACGGGTCAATTATGGATCCGAAATGCATAGCTATAGACACCACGGGGACACCAGCGCCCCGGCGGGAAGGGTCACCACAGGAGCCCCCCGTGTCTGGCAGGCACGGTCTCCGCTTCTACCTCCAGCTGGGTGGGAAGCAGCACTTCCCGCAGGCACGGTTCGATCGCACTCACGCTCCTTGCATTGCCCTGCTGTGAAAGACGAGTTGTTCAGGTCAGACAGCCTCTTTGCCAGCCACAAGCCCCCAGAAGTACTCAATTCTGCTTCCTGGGAAATCCTCCAGCTCAGCGATCCCTCCTCTGTGCCCCCAATCCGGCCAGGCTCTCTTTCTGGCTAAGGAGGAGCCACATTTCCAACCACGGCCACAAAGGCAGGAGAACCCAAGAGGTCTGCTTTGGCTCGGAAACCCTGTTCGTTCACAGCAGGCGGACAGCATCCAGGTCCTCATGCGCATGCGCCGGCGCTGCTCTACTTGGGAGGTATGACGACGATCGGCTGTCCTCGCTTGGGTCTCCACATGAGGACCTGGGCATCGTTGGCGTTGGGTTTCACTAGTGCGTTTGGTGGGATGGGCTCCATCCTGCTGAGGATCCGGGGCTGCTCCTGCTGAGTCCTTCCCACCAGTCGTGCCCGCTGCCCCAGGAGCTGCATGGGGTCAACCTCAATGTCCACTCGCATCCTCCACTTTATAGTCTGCAAGATGATTTTTTCCTTGGTGGTGGTGTTCATGGCCACCAGCCACGTGGTAAAGCTCTGGTCTCTCTTAATCCTGGTCAGCAGCGGCACGTTACTGTTGCTCACCGGGACAGCCCACGTCACGCTGGGGTAGAAATTGTCATTCATGCTCACTGAGAACCTGGAGATCTTGTTGGTGGGCCCGACCAGGGTGACAGTTTCTGTGGTGTTTCCGTACCAGGGGTAGCTCACGCCATCCGAGTCGCTGATGGCTTTTACTCTTCCTTCACGCAGGTCGGGCAGCTCCCAGCTTGATCTGGGGAACGGGAAGAGAAAGGCTGGGTTAGCAGGGAAACGGCAGCGCCGGTGCCCAGCGAGGGACGGGGAGACAAGCAGCACGGGGACCCCCTCCCTGCCTGCAGCAAGCTCTCAGGGACCTCCTTCAAGAACAAGTTCAGCTTCAGTTCCATCGCTGAGTCCCTCCTGGCCAGTTGAAGGCCGTGCCAGCACAACGCTATTTTAACGAACCTGCAATCAAACCAACCAACTGCTGCTGAGCCTCTCTGGAGTCACTCTCGCTCCCGTGCCAGAGGAGGACAGCCTGCCCCATCCACCAGCCGCAGCACCGCCACCGCTGAGCCAGACAAGCCCCTCGGCAGCCCCCTCCCGTGATAATAAAAGTCTGTGATTTTTATACCTCCGAACACACGCACCTGCACAGCAGCACGGACAATAATTAAACACCACAATTACCTCTGCTGCTGGTGCAGTGAAACCCCCGCAATACAGCTGGGGTGGAACTCCAGCCCCAACCTCGGCTGCTGACCATGACAGCACCACGCAGCTACGGCAAGAGACGATTGCCATGGGACAGCTGCGAGTGAGGAGCTTGGGGGACACCTCCTGCCGAGTCCAAGCTCTGGCTTCAAACAGATCTGGGCTCTGGAGCTGCCCGTGAGCGGCCAGGGACACACAGCCACCATCCCCCGGACAAGTGACAACCTCTGCTCACTCCAATGTCCCCAAGATCTCCAGTGCCACGTGCAGATGAACCTGTCATGACACAGGGACGCAGACAGGCAGCACGGGGACCGCCTGCTCCCCCGTGCCCATGCTCACTGTC